GACTGAAATGATCAGAAAGTATAAAATACAAAACTGAATCTAATATTCAATTCATCAGTTACAAAATTTCTTCAAGGGGATAAATGTACATTTCCCTTTTGTAACCTCCATCTTCTCATTTCTGATGCTGACTCTTGAATATCCTCAGGTTAGAAATGCCGATTACAAACGCCAGCATGAGCTTTTAAAGATAAGTTTTGCCTGTAATGCTATGATCCACAGCTGTCACCTCCTCATCAAGAGGAAAATGGATAAAAACTAACTACTCGATCGTATCTGCTGCTTAGTGGACACAAGGGTACACAATAGAACTTACGTTTTATACCAGTAGCTCACAGATGCTTCAACTTTTGTGACTTTTTCATGGACTAGTACTAGGAGCTAACGGAAAAAACATAGGCAGTAAGCAGGGAGTGGAAGGGAGGAACGTGGCAAACATTTTACCGGAAATACGTCATTAATGACCGTGGCATATAGGCTATTGAATTAGGGATGTCCCGATCAGATACTCCGTATCGGTATCAGTGGCAGATATGGCCATATTTTGAAAATCGGGTAGAATCGGACGGATTTAGTCATGTGATCGGGCCGATCCAGTTTTCGCGACAGTTTTCAGCATCATCATGCTTTACAACTGCCATTAAGATATCAAGACGCACACAAGTATGCAACCATGTCCACAGTGTGGGAACACTTTTCAATGGAAAACAATGATGCTGAAACTGCATCTTGTAAAGTCTGCAAACTGGATGTTTCTCGTAGTGGGAATAGCAGGGCTCGCTTTAATACTGCCAACCTTGTCACTTGGAAAGAAATAAAGCTATCGGATTGGTATCGGAAAGACTAACCTTTTTTTTTTTTTTTTTTGATGGCCTCCCTTCTCCCCCTTTAGCCATCCTCTCCACACCATTATTATGTTTTTTTTTTTTTTATTGGAGATAAAGAAGAAAAAAGAAAAAAGTGAAATGCATTGAGAAAGAGTGAAAAAGAGATTAGAAGATATGTAAATTATATGCTGAGAAAACACAAGACAGCACACCGGACTTCTCGGCTCCACACCTACAAAACAAAGATAGAAAAACCACAGCAACAAAAATGCATAACTATGTAATTATAATGACTTAAGCCTTGCTGAAAACCATACCCATTTACATATACAAATATATACACAACCATACCCCTACCTACATATCCAAACACTTTCATATACATACTTACATACAAATACATACATACACACAAAGACTAACCATTAAAAAAATTGGATTGTATCGGGAGCCAAAAAAATCTGGATCGGGATATCCCTAAATTAAATTGAAGATAACCACCACAGCTCACTGATTTTAGAAAACACAATAATAATAATGAACTCAACCAAGTACAGAAGCTGTGAGCAGCCAGTTTTATGGGATAAGATAACTGTCAGAGTTATTGTATGTGTAAGAGTCTAAATTTATATATGTAAGTCTAGAAACGTACATAAATTTGTTACAACTTTGCCACATTACAAGCACAAATCAAATTTACAAGTACAAATCAAATTTACAAGTACAATTCTTACGTGAGAATACAAGTTTTTAAGTTATAAATACAAGTTAAAAAGTTACAACTTTGCCATATTACAAGTACGAATCAAATTTACAAGTACGGACTTCCGGTTATGTCGTCTTGCTGAGCGGTTGCTGGGATCTGAGTTCTGACCAACACATCCTTTTTTTGGATATTTACACCACTGCTAAGTTTTTTTTTTTTTGTACGAATATAAGTTAAAGACTCAATTCAATACTCCAAGATGCCGAGTAAAAACAAGATAAAAGTGAAAATAACCACCAAAGATGACGCTAGCAGCAAAGTAGAAACAGAGAGCACATGGAGGGGGCTAGCGCTAGCTCCCAGATTTCTGAAACTAACCTCATGGAAGCAATCCAAGCCTTAAAATCTAATTTCTCCACGCAGATACGTGAGATTATAACTTCGAACCAAGAAATTAAAGACACAACTGGAGGGTTCCTTGAGAGGCTTACCTTGGCAGAAACCCGCATTGGTGGATGGCGTGGCCTCGTTAACAAACAAAGAAGCGTCCTTAAAGAAGAAAATCCAAGAGCTCACTTTGAAGGTGGATGAGCTCGAAAATGACTACCGGAAACCCAATCTACGACTTGTGGGATTATCCGAGAAAACAGAACAAGGGGACATCACAACTTTTCTCCAGAACTGGTTGATGGAGGTTCTGGGGTGGGACGCATTTCCATCTCCCCCCATTATCGAACGGGCTCACAGGCTGCAGGGGCAGAGCACTCCAGGTACCTCGCCACGTGTGATCATCATAAAATTCCTAAACTATCAAGACAAGATGAGAGTGATGACAGCAGCCCGTCTGAAAGGAAAGGTGATGCACAATGGCCACCATGTGATGTTCTTCCCTGACCTGTCTGCGGAGGTGGTAAAACAGCGGAAAGAATCCGACCGAGTGAAACAACAACTCCGTAAGCTGAATATAAACTTTGGACTTATATTCCCAGCAAAGATGAGGATCTTCCACGATGGGAATCGTTTCCTCTTCCACACTCCGATGGAGGTGGAGGAATTTATACGGAAAATAGGACAACAAACTGACGGG